ATTTCATTTCTAAATTGACATCTCTGCTTTAAATCACAAATTAAAATGCTGTAAAGGATATATTTCTTTTTGTGTGCATACTTAAAACATATTCTCATGTAAACCTTTTAATTAGAGATTTGACGCCTTTGATGTATGGGAGATATTTGCAGATAAGGTAACAGGCAATGCCAATCCATATGGTGAAGGCAGACAAGGGGCCAAATGACACGCCCTATTAGAAAAAGTCTGAATTTATTTGGAAGTTCAAATAAATGTGGATGCTCACTCTTACATAGAAAGAAACTTGGCCAGGCCTCCTTGAGGTGTTGCCCGCTTAAATCTTTCTTCCCGATGCTCTCTTGATTCTCCCTTGATTCTCCCTGGGAAGGCTATCACTTTGATTCCCTAGAGCAGTGGTTCTCAACCTGTGGGTTATGACCTGCAGGAACTGTATTAAAGGGCCGCGGCATTAGGAAGGTTGAGAACCACTGCCCGAGAGGTTTTTACATCTCAAAGTAACATATCAGGATAGGTGATAGATCTTTCCTTGTAAAGGACCCTTGTATAGGGCAGGTGGATATGGACACACCTTGTTGGGGCTTTAGTCATTTACCCCCCACTTAGGAGGGTAAAAGGAGGTTAAAGGTCACTTTGTTGCTTCACAGAGTGCAAGGTTCTTCCCGGTGAAATCACTCTCGGAGAGGCAGTTTCTTCAGAAGAAAAGATTCCATCAACCACTTAGAACCCTTGGAAAGAGAGAAGCCTCTCACTTGTGGTTGCTGGTTCTCCTCCCCCTATGTGGTGGGACAGACTTGAGTTCTGGTGAATTCTCTGTTCACTGAGCTGCTGGGGTGATATGCTATCAAATGCCCAGCAAGGGTTTGGTTTAATTCTAGGGTGTTGCTCCGTTGTTTATACCCACATGTTCAGCCCCACAGCTACTATTACTACCAATATTCATAATCATAACCTCTGCATGTGTAATTGGTGCCCTGCATAGATGAGACACGACACAAGTGGAACTTATTATTAGGCTTCGTACTCTTACTATTTTAAGACTTGGAAAGCGCTCTGGTTATTTTATAGGCATCCTGTCTGGCACTATGGTTGTCTGAAAAAGAAATCTCTGTTAAATCCAGATTCTTTCAGCAATGGGGTCATTTGATTTGAGCTTGGCCTGAAAAAATAACAGTATCAAGAGGACAGAAGTGGAGTCAACCTTGGGGGACCCCACATTTACACCATTTGGGGAAACATATTAGAAAGAGAGCAGAAACTTTCAAGTAAGATCCAGAGCCCAGGCAGTGTGCTCAGCTTTACAGCCAATTCCCCTGGACTGCAGGGCTGGCGGTCGGGTTTCTGGTGGACGGTCTCACGCTCAGGGTGCACAGTTGAAGCTATTCCAGGCACGTAAGTCTCTCCACAACCACAGGCTTTACTATCTCTGGGGGCTGTACTGCTGACTGCTTGGGTGGTGATCAGCCCTGATGAAAGTGGGGGATTCTCTGCCCAAAGCCTTGCTGTGGTTCCGAGACAGCTGCTGCAACCTGGTGGGGGCTACGGGTCAGATGTGGCCTGAAGATGGTTTGTCGTGATGGTGTTGTTTTCTTCCTGTTCAATGTTTCATACCCATGTGAATTAAACTTGTCAAAACTTTAAAAACCATACCATTTTCAAATAAAGAGCTGATTTTTTTTTCCTTGAGAAACTGGAAGACTGCGCCACACGAGACTTGAAAAAACAGCAGCTTTAGAGGAGGACATGCTTGCCTGTGGGCCCAGTCCTCACCTGGCTCTTCCTCAGATGTATCTGCCTGACCTTCAAGACATGGGAATTCCTGCTAAGGCCCCTGTCTGAGCCAGCTGCCTTGCCTGCCTCATCTGGTTCCTTGCCTCCTAATCATTTTTGTGTTTTTTTCTTTTAAGATTAGCCGTGCATCATGAATCTAGACACCCCACTTTATGTTGCTTTGTATTCCTTTTGCTTTTTCAGCTTGCATCGGGCTGTTCTTAGGTTGTTTCATGAAGAGCCATATATATTTATTAGAAATAGCTTCACTTTTGTGTTTCATTTCACACTTTATGTCACCTTTTTTTTTCTTTTCTAAAAGTAATACATGGTATATTTAATGAAACATTTGTATTGGAATAAAAGATTGACAGTTTGGGAATTTCAGGCCTATTCAGGGAAAAAGTCTTGACAGGACTAAGGTCAAGAGCTCTTCTTCTGATTGTAAACTCCCACTGGCTGAGCTGTTACCACCACTGCCCATGCAGAACTGTCCCCTGTCCATGCTGCGGGGATTCGGCTCTTCGTTATGGACCTGTACACTGCTGCTCACTAAAAACAGCCTTCTGCATGAACACCTTGGTATTTTGCATGAAAAACTCCAGAATTAAAAGGAAAAACATGTGATGGAACTTACTGCTGATTGATACTTTAAATCCTTTTTGAAAAAAGGTGCAGTAGCAATCCATGTAGCAAGTAACAGAAACATACTGCCCATTCATAAATGATGCAGCAAGCTGGCGGGCCAATGCCAACTGGCTAGTCAGCAGTCTTTCCCATCAGGGATCGCTGCGTGTAGAGTCACGCCTCAAGGAAGTCGGGCATGACATTTATACTTTAAGATCATCTGCAGAAACTGCAGTTTTTAAGAATTAAGTTAACCCCCAGTAATAACCTATTTCAAATTAACACACAACCTATATAGTTGGAAAAAGAAAAGATTTTTGGATATATATTTTATTTGACAGTGTTTTAGAATATCATACAGTAAACAAGATTTCTGTAAAAGTTAATTTATCCATAGTGGTGCGTTTCATAAAAATAGTTGCTCACTTACAGTCTTTCTGTGACTATTAATACATGGAATTATATTTATAGAGATACAGCTGTACAGGGTAAATTCACAGCTAACACTACACAGAAATATTATTTGGAATGGGATTTAGATGATGTGCTGTCTTCACAGGTTATGGATTACAGCCGCATAAGCAATTACTGCACAAGTAGTAGCTGTGAACTGTGCAAATTAGAGTTTATGCCAGCGTAATCTCAATTTTTTTTTTCCTTTTGTAACACATGGAAAATAAAGGTCAGAGGATACAGTACCAGGACGTGCAGCTACACTACAGAAGCATTGTCCAAAACCAGATTCAATAAATTAATGGCAAACTATACTGGATTTCTAGTCCAGGGGAGAAAGACTGATTGAGATTAAACCAAAAGTATTATAAACTGCTACATGTGTTTGTGCTTTTGTTTATGATGAATGGGTTTCATTTTTGGAAATTGCTTTTACAAGCTGCAAGACCTTTCACGGGAGGCTTTCAACTAGATTCTCTCCTTGTCAAACAACTAAGCTACTCCAGTGTCTGATGGAAATTAAACTGCCAGTGCTCAGGTTACTGCAATTACAAAGAGAGGGAAAGAGTCAGCCCAGGAGGCTATTTTGTGTGACCTTCGTGATGGACCTGATCTCCCCTTTTATTTATTTGACTACAAGTGCAGGGAAGTGAGGCTTATTTGCATTTGAACTCGTGTAAGAAGGCAGAATATGGGAAGGATGAAGCCTCATTCATTCAGGGCATACTGAAAAGAAATTGCCTTCAGAAACATTTTGCCATTTAATGTGTGTAGCTACAAAAAGTACCAATGGATAATTAATTGAAGCTAACATTATACAAAGAAATACTAAAACAGCAGGGAAGAAAGGCAAGCCCTAGAATTTTACTAGAGGATCAATCATAGATCCACGGAGATAAACAGAAACATTAGAGGTTGCTAACCGAAGAAAATACTGGCAAAGAATATAAGACAAAAGCAAACCAAATGGAAACAAAAAGAGAAAGAGTAAGGGAAGGAAGATAAGCAGAAAGGAATGCTATAAAGACTTGTGTTCTTTAATGAAAATAAATTGGTTATAATAATGCTCTTTTAATATTAGAGATTCATTATAATCTGAGAAATATAAGAAATGCTTTGCTTCTGCTCTGTCAAAGTGCAAATGAAGTCATGGAAAGAGGGTTTAAAATAAGACAATGAAACAAGTGAAATATAACACTGCGGACAAAGAAGCTATCTATCTCTGCTAGCCTGGGACAATAGAAAAGCCTTTTCATAAAGGAACTGCAGCGTTGCCAATCTTGATTAAACAAATTGTGGCCCTTCAATTACCAAATTCATATTTTAAAGGAAAACCAATTAAGATCTATGAGCTAAACTGCAAAATTCTGACTTACAGCAAACTGTTCCCTAGGATGCAATTTTTAAAACCTTTTTTATCCTACCACTGAAAATGTACAGAAATATGATCTGATCACAGAAATGGCAGTAAAAATGGCATCACACCAATGAATTCACTAGATTTCTAACTCATCCTGCAGTAGGCAGGGAACGCTGCTGCTAATACGGAGTATGGATGCCAAGGGTGAGCCGTGGAAACGTGTCATGGGCGAACAGTTCTGAATGTTTCAAAGAAACCCTTTAACCCCTGTCTAGATAATGTCAAGAACAATTTATTTACAATGCTTTAGATCAATTAAAAGATATAATCTTGTCTCAGTTTCAGCTTGCTCCGTGCAGTTTGATTTTTAAGGCGATATTCCAGTTTGTGATTGCTCTTATCTTGTCCAGTTTCTTGATATAAAGTTTGGATGACATCCAAATCCTTCATGCAGTGGGGGTAATGTTTTATCCTTCTCTCTTATTTTTATTTTTTTTCTTTTTACTAAAGCTACACTGCACTGTCTCTCTGCGATGTTCTTCACGTTATTTTGGTTCTTCCATAGCTGCCAAAGCCCCCACCGTGGGACTGGGGGGCTTCAGGATCAGTTTGGGTCTGCGCGTGGACGCTGTGCCGCCCATGCTCATCGGACACGTGGGATTTCACGTTGACGCTCCCAGGCCTTAGGTGCCTCGTGGATCTATGCGTGTGACAGTGAAAATAAATTAAAACGCCGTGAGACGGAACCTAAGAAGCACGGCCCGCGTCGAGGCGGCGGCCGGGTCCCCGCTCATCTGCCCGCGGCCGAGGCGCCGGGTTTGAGCGCGCCCGGCAGCTTGTCTGAGCCCGGCACCTTCCAGGGCCCCGGCGCTACCGCGGTCTTGCGCGCGGGGGCGCCCCCT